TGATTATCTGAGGGATGGCATGTGATGCGAGACAGAAAACCAGGGACGTGGTTATGGGGAAGGAGAAAGTAAAAGAAAGGGCCAAATGCCAATTTTTGGACACTACATTGCCACTGCCTCTAATGGCGGAAAAAAGCCCCATTTTTTCAGACTGAATTTGCAAATGGGGCTTCTTCTTTTTCCCCCACCACCCTTTCTTTTCTTGTTCTTTTGACAAGTATGGCTCGAGGGATGAGAATTAAGACGCAATAATTGGCTAAATTTGCAGAAATTAAGAGCCACTGGTGAGGGAGGGACTGGATACTGTATACTGTAGAGTATAATGATAAACATAATTAAGTTTAGTCAGAAAGTTTCAATTACTTGTACTTTTAATAATAAATTAGTGGTTCTGTAATTTGGAAAGTTTCTCATTTGAAAAGTGAAAAGTTTCTGATTAGTTGAAGGACATACATTATTTTGGTAAATGTTACTTTACATTTTTTGCTAGCTGAGTACATCAATTTGGAGGTATGGGTATTGAATCTCCGATCTCGAATAAATGAATATATGTAAATTATTGTTCAGCTATGTTGGTATTAACTTAAAAAAATCATTAATGTATAGTCAAAGATTACTTTCATGTTTAATTTTCGATCACCTTTTCAGTTAAGTTCAAATATTAGTCAATAAACATAGCTCAATAATTGGCACATGCTCATTTTCTTGAGATGTAAGTCGAACCCTCACATCTCAATTTGTTCTCTGAGAAAAATATTAAATTTTGTAAAAAAAGAGAGAGAAGAAAACTAAATATTAAACTCATTTTCTTTTAAGTTCGCCGCCCCCCCCCCCTACTTGGGCCCAATGGGCCGAAGCTCAGCAATGTTGWTGGGCTCGGAATCTGACCTCGCAGTCCAAAAAAAACGACATCATGGGCCGAGGCCCAGCTTGTTGCTTTTTGTTCCAGAAATTGCTGCAACCACCGTGAAAATATGGCTTTTCCAAAACGAGCCATGAAAAACAATCAATATCAATTCTCACTTTTTTTTTAATATAGAAAAATTATAACAAATAAAATAACGCTCAGCGTGTTAAGGCACATGTATCTAACCATGAGGTGAATCCGAAACTCGAACCCCTTGATCAATGATACATGCCTTTAACTAGTTGAATTATATTTTACAATAAATATATTAGTGTGATGTTCTAGATTTTTTCGTTTTTCTGTCTTTTTTTTTTTGTGGAATAAAATAAGAAAGGGAAAACATAATATATGGCATATTTACTTCAAATGAGATGAATTTATGGTCAATTGCGTGTTCAAGGTTCTATTTTTCTTTGTGTTCTGTTTTAAGAACTTTGCTTCTCCATGGATTATGGAGTTTTTAAAATTTTGGTCTTAATCACCCTAATAAACAATTAATAATATTTGGGTAATGGGTACTAAGGAGTTTGGCGTGCCTTTTAAGTGTTTATGAATGATTAAACAATATTTTTCAAAAAACTGATAATATTTGGTTTAAATTTTTGGTTGGTGAAGCATGGCTGCATTCATCCTATAGACTTACATGTGTGTGACGAACCTCTTAGAGGTCTTCTGCATATACTGATGGCAGATAGTGTAGGGGTCTCCATGTCCCGCCTTATTTCTTTTTTATTTTTGTTTTTGGGCTTTTTGCCCCTTTGTTCCTCCAAAAAAAAAGTGTTAAAAATTGTTTTACCGATTGAAAATACCCTTTTTATAATATATATATATATATATATATATATATAGATAAAAAAAATACATAGAGGGATTTAAATAAATAAATAACACTTGAAATGCTTTTAGATGAGCATTTGTGTATCTTCCTTCGCCAAAAATAATTAAAGATAAAAGATGTTTCACTTAAATTTTTTTTTTTTTTTGTCAAAAGCCTCCTAAAACCACCATTACTATATGTTTGTAATTAATAGGGTTAGCCACTACCGAGAGTTGAAGTTAAACGGATTAGTTCGGTGGTTAAGACATTTTGTTCCTTCCTTATATATAATTAAGTTGGAGGTTCAATCTTTCATTCTCATATTTGTTGTACTAAAAAAATCTTGAAGTTAAACAAAAGGGAATTTTTTAARTTCAATATTATTATTATTATTTTTTCTAGTTCATTTGAAGTTTAATTATGTTTGAACATGTAAAATAATGTACATATACAAAGGATATAATCAAGTAGAAACCCAAGTTTGATTTAAAATTTTCAAAAGATCCCCTAAAGTGCATGAATTTTGTATTTTGCACATAAAATTTCAAACTCATTCCTTACTTTGCAAATTATAGCATATTTTCCATGTTGACTCCTAAGGATATTTGTAAGAACACATTCAGTGCATCCACAAGAGGCAAGGTCTACTCATTATTAGACAAGAAGACAATGGAAAAAAAAAAACGAAACCTGTTTGACAAAAAGAATTCAAACCCAGTCAACTAGAAAAAGATAGGCTCAAATCTCACAACGATCCCACAGACATAATTTCCTCCCCACATACTAGAAATTGAGAATCATGTGTCGGGTGATTTATAATCACGTGTTTAAGTTACTTAAATATCTCAATTGACTTATAYGGGTAATCATCTATTTTGAATTGTTTTCACACGTGTAATCAAAACATGTAAAAGAGTCAAAAATCGATTAAACATGTTCGTTTAACGAGTGAGAAACGGGTAATCTTTGATCGCTTAATTTCAAAAGGAAAAAAAAAAAGTTGAGTTGAAACAAATATATAATGATAAAGCTTTAGTTCAAGCCAGCTGGTAATCTCATCGTTTTAAATGGTAATTTAGTGATAAACCTTTCGCAATCACAACAACTTGCCAAAATTAGTTGCTTTTACGAAAAGGCAACATGAATCCAGCTTGAAAAAACAATCCCAAAACCCCTTTTTTGTAATTTCTTTAATAAGTTATAGTGTTGAAAGTCAAAAAAGAAAGACAAAAAATAAATAATAAAAATTTAAAAAAATCCCA